ACGCGGCTATATGGTACAACATATAAAAAATAAGATCGTTTCCTACTAGGCATGAGACTGGACGGTGTGAAAGGGTAACGTGACCCAGCCGCAGTGAAAAACATGATCCAAGTATATGACTCGGGGCGCATTGATCGACAAAAGTGAAGAAATTTAATAAATGCTTGGCTTGAGGTGATGCTCCATTGACGAACAATAGTAAGACACCTCTGATATTTAATGGTGAGAACTAAAGTCATAGTCATAAAATGAGTATGAATTACTCATCATTAGTCATAGATCCCCCGATACTTAAAATAGTCCTATTGGTTATAGATTCTAATCATTGTACAAAGCCCAAGGTTATCTGTAATGTATAAATAACCATTGATTTCATGTATCTAAAAAGTAGCGAAGTATTATAATAATAGAGACTATCTAATGATAGCCCCCAAGGATTTTAGTGGCAGTAGGAACCTTAGTTCTCGGATCAAATCTTCCATGCCCACTTTCGAGTGGCCTTGTCTTTTTGGTTGTGTTTTAGCTATGAATTATAGTCACCCAGATTCGCCTTTTTACAACGGGCTGTTAGACCAATTAAATATAAATTATTATATATTATTACCTGTTTATTATTGTTGACATCATTTAAATTATTAGTTTACTACTCATTTTACATAAAGCAACTTCTAAACTAGAGATGCGATCAGTTATCCATTTTCTTATTTAAGGATTCTTTATAATAATTTTTGGTATAAAATTAAATTGGGGATATCCAGGTCACATCTCTAACTTTAAACAAGTATAATGTCAATAACTCTATCCGGATTTATATATCCGAATATATACTATAACGTGATATAATGTTTTTAAATCCGGATACAGTACACCCTGTCAAAACCGGTATGCATGGTGGACAGGTTTTGCATCAGATTTGAAGGGTTATCGGATTCGAAAAATTTGTAAAAACTATCACACGAATGATGATTCGTTGGTCAATGTAGCTAGGTATCTAACACACTGACATGACACAACGCTTAACTGGCATGTTTATTTTACAGATATTTAAATTACAGACGATTAATTTACCAATATGTTCATTTTACCGACAGACACTTAATTCACTGACAATTAATTTGCCGATAAGCTTCATTCACTGCAAATCGGCCTAACTCTAACACTAACCCTAACTTATGCTGAGTGTTTAATCGTATAATTGGGTTCATTATTCTTCAAACTTCTCGAATTAAGCTTGTTGATGAATTAATTGTCAGTGAATTAAGTGTTGGTGAAACAAACGTGTTAATAAAATGAACATGTCGATAAATTAATTGTCGATGATTTAATGTCTGTAAAATAAACCTGTCGGTGAAGTTAGCGGAATCGATAAAATTCAACAAAGATTAGTTACGTATCACTTCACAAAATTTTATTCACAGACAAGTTTATTTTAAAGACAATTAATTTACAGACAGCTCATTTTATAAACAGTTCATTTTACCGACGGCCATTTTATAGACAATCTTTAATAGTAAATAACTTTTGAATCAGCATTAAAGATTGTCTGCAAAATGAAATGTCTATAAATATCTGTCTAAAATAATCTGTCGATTAATTAATAGTCTTTAAAATAAACTTGTCTATGTGCTGATTGTCTGTAAAACAAGGTGTTTGAAAAATAAACTATTAATTCGAAGAATCAAATCTTTCAGAACATTGCTCACGCAAGATACACCTGCTCTAAGATTTAAGCATTGTCCTCACAGAGCACAAATGCTAATGTCTTTCCTTCTTCTAATTATGTTCAAGAAGGTAGTTGTGATCTATGAATTTGATCAAAGATCACAATTTTGCAAACTTAAATTAATAAATTAAAGAAGGAAAAAAAATTTAAAATAATGTTTATATTAAACTAAAAAAAGAAGTTTAATAAAATAAATTTTAAAGATAGATGATTGCTTATTATTATTTTTTGATTGGTTAGACAAACCTGATACCTGGCTTTTGAGCATCGGTTATCAAAAATGGCAGGTTATCGGATTTGAATTATGGAACAGACACCGTGGATCAGTGTTGTTATTGGACATGGCCAATTGGACATGGCTAATTGGACATGGCTAATTAGACATAAGGCTAAAATGGCTAATAAATTTAAATTAGCCTTATAGGTCCAAATAATTTTTATATATTTTAAAAAAATAAAACTTATCTTATAATTAAAACTTGTTTAAAAATTACTATTACTTTTATTAATACTTAATACCAACTAAAATAAAAATAACTTAAACTATGTTTTTAAAATTTTAATATTAAAATAATTACTATACTTTCATAATCTGTATTAGAACCTTTAATCACTAATTAGCTTTCTTTATATCAATATGTTCTAATAATTAGATAAATAGTTATCTAATTATAGATTTTAACTTTTGTATATAGTCAATACTCTTTAATCATACTAATTATTGTTAAAAAATTTTCAAAAGTTTTTATAAAGTAATTACTATTTTGATAGTAATGATATACAATATATTTGGTGCATGAAATAGAATTTGCAAACAGAAATGTTGCATTAAAGAAGGCTTTGAAGTGATTAATTATCACGTGTTTTATGTGCCCCACATGATTGGTATAGATTATGAAATTAGTAGTGTATAAATTAACAAAAAACAATGCATTAAAATGTCAATCAATTAAAGAGACAAAATGGCATAGTACCAGGAATTTAGTGAACCAAATACCAGGAACGCAGTGAAATGAAGTATATGGTTTACAAGCAAGTTGCTGTGTTTGAAATCTTAAATTCTATTGGATAGCGTGATCATTGTATGTGCCTTTACCAAGAACTGCGATCATGTTATATGATTATTCGAATTTGGTTAGAATGAAACATTCATTATTGATCTCATGACCAGATCGAATCGATTTAACATCTTTATCCGTGACTTTTTACCTGTAATGGTGGTTTAATTCAGTTAAATAAACGTAGTGGCTACTGTAATTACATTAATATAAAAGAATATAATATCGAATATGCTTAATAATTTATATTATAAAACATTACATGAATCCATCAGTGAGATAGAGATAAATCCTTATGTTGCTTTTTTTTGGCAATTAAAGTGTGCATTCAAATATGGTCGATTGAACATCACACTAGATTGTGAAATTTATTCCAAAAAAGGTTATGGCTATACTGTACACCAGTTACGTATTTTTATTAATTAGATCGATCTTTACATGTACAAGTACGTGATCTTTTTTTTTTGTAATCACGATGCTGAGTTGAAAATTTTCTCTGCGATTGAAAATATGCATATTTAATTTATGCTAAAATCTTCACATAGCATTATAATTAATATATGCTAATCTTTTAATATTGATTAGATTTCTATACCAAAAAATAATATTCAAATAAACATGATCGAATTATTACGAATTATTCACGGTCCAGAAAATGGGCTTTTACTTGAAATGGATACAAAACCAAATAATATAATATCACTAATCAAATAATAAATTTACGGTAAACCGATATATATATAAATTTCTATCGTTTAGTAAAACAAAAAAAAATTTATTTATCCCTAAAAGATCTATTCGAATAATTCAGTAAGCTTACGTTCCTGGTTTCGCGTGACAGCGTCGCGCAGCTACCTTGTTAATTATAGTAAAAGGTTAAAGATTGTATGGTGTAATTGGATTAGAATAATAAATATATTAGTAAAAGTAAAAAATTAAATGCTTTTTTGAAATGAACTGCACGCATGTGATATAATAGTTGGACATCTTCCTGCGCAAATAGTGCTGGATATTAAAACTTTATTAAATTGCTTTAGAGAGATATATAAAGATATGTGGCATGTATCGGGCGAGAATGATGTATAATTGAAAGAGAAATATAGCATATATCAGTGCAATTGATGTATTATGTATTGGCATTAGCCGGTGGTTTCCCACCTGCATAAAGCGGGCCGACTGTTAGCCAGAAGCTTTGCAGTTAAATTAGTGATGCATAATCTTAGCCGGTGGTTTCTTACCTGCGTAATGCAGGCCGGCTATAAATCTGAAGGATTTGCAAAAATGGCAAGATTCTACTGAGGGAGAGAAGGGAGGGTGCGAATTGGAGGGTATCTGTTTTATATCTGTCTGTTATCATCATGCATGCCCTGACAAATTTGGTTATATTAGCGATTACCGAATTGGTAGTTCATTAAACTTTTACTTATCTTTGTCCCTGCTCATACCAGATTTTCTTTTTGGAGCGGGATCACCCATGTGATTGTTGACTCATTGATGCATCACTGCTTAGCTGTCTTTTCGATCCGTTGACCTGCTATCAACACGAATGAATAATCAATCACAATCATAAAAACACTTACCCAACAATGCCCATGCATGGTATATAATTCTACGCATTCACTTGACCTTTAAATTAGATCCTTAGACACTGTGTCTTAACTTTCAAGAAAAAAAAAAAAATTCAGTATCGTTATACAAAGTTGGTTATAAATACCTCTAGCACTAGAACACCTCTTTATCATGCTTCTATGCTTTAATTATAACTTAAGCTACTTTTTATGAGTGTTATTAGGACGGCTGAGGGCTAATTGCGAATGTACTTGCCTTTTTAGAGCTATTGTTGAATCGTCTTATTAGTATCTCTCTTTATTACTATATTATTGTTCTAGCCAGATTTGGTTATATTAGCATTTTATCATACTATCCAAAACTAGCAATTTATTAAATTACTTATTTATTTTCTTGCGAAAATTTCTGTTGGCATCAGGCTTGTTTCTATTATTCATGTGATTATCAATACGCCAGTATCAGAGCATTAGTTTTAGATTATTTTTTGCTCTATTAAGTATAATTTATTATATATTATTAATAAATAATGCATTAATAACTTACTAAATATAAATAAACTTATTATGTATTATTAAATATAAATAATGATATGTACGTACGTGTGTATACATTAATTTTTTTTTTTTTTATTATCTATATTATTCATCAATATGCCACCTAAAGAACATTATCTCGCAAAATATTTTGAAAAACCAAAAGAAAAAGCTAATAAGTCCAATGTCTTTTCTATTTGCAAGTTTTGTATTAAAGGTCTAGGTTATGATGTAGCTGTAGTGCAATCAAAAATTACTCATAAAAGCCGTGACTGTAAAAATTATCTTAAATCATGTCAATTTTTTCTTGCTGAATATTCTTATGAAGAACAACAAGAAATTTTGAACCCACCAGATGAAATAGTTGAAAGTTCTTCAACAAGTATAAAAAAAAGAAGGTTAAATTTATTTAATGATAAAATTGTAGATGGTTATTTTAAACCTAATTTTCAAGAAAAACATTTAGAACAATATGAAAGTTTATTAATTCGGGCTACAGCATCTTGTGGGTGGTCTTTTCGATGGATTGAAGATCCAGAAGTACAAAAACTTATACGATTTTTAAATCCATCAGCTAATTTTCCTAGTCGATTAGATCTTTCAAATCGTATTTTAAATCAGGAGTTAGAAGTAGTTTTAGAAAGTATTATTCAGTCTGCAACACAAAATAATCTTGGTGTTACCTTATCATATGATAGTTGGAAAAATGTAGCTTCACGAAATATCATTAAAAGTACATTAATTACCGCAGAAGAATTAGCATTAGCATGGAATATTGAAGACTTAAGTAATAAACGCAAAAACTGGCAAATTATAGTATTAATAACAAAAAATTTATTTAATTCAATTGAAGCCAATGGTATTTTAGTAAATAGACTAGTTACAGATTCTGCACCTGAATATATGGCTGCAAGGTAATAATAAATTTAAATAAAATTTAAATTAATTTATAATAATAATATATAGATATATATTTATTTATTTTTATTTATTTATTTTTTTTATTTATTTTTTTAGAAAAAGACTTCGAAAAGAATTTCGAAATAAAATTTTTTTATCATGTTTTAGTCACCAAATGAATTTATACATGGGTGATATTTTCAAAAAAAAATAGTAATTTAAAAATTATTGCTGAAGAAGCAATAGAGGTGATTACTTATTTTCATAGATCAGATTTTTTTTATAGCCAATTAAAAGATGAACAAGCAGCTATATATAAAGGAAAATATATTGCTTTAATAACCCCTAATGATACACATTGGAATAGTCACTTTTACTGTTTTTCAAGTATTTTAAAATCTAAAGCGGCTTTAAAAGTTAGTATATTATTATTATACAGTAAACCTTTGTAAGCACACTCTCTATAAGTATACATCTCTAAATACATGCTCAACTTCTAAAATAAATATATATATTTTCTATATATAGATTTTTTTATTGTTTAATTAATATTATTAAGATTTAATTTTAAAATGCATACTTATAGAGGCTTATTATTTATATTTATATTTATATTTATATTTGATAAAAAAATTTATTTATTTTTTTATTTAGAATTTAATGACAAAAATTGAAGATAGCGATGATAGTTCTCTTTATGGTTTTCCAATCAATATTCAAGAAAATCTTTCAAGCCCTGATTGGTGGAAAAGGTTACAAGAGTTGCATAATTTAGTTGAACCTTATTGTACAGCTTTAAATAAATTGCAAACTGATGGTGCACAGTTGTATGAAGTTCTTCATGCATTCGGGTGGATTGTAAAATTTTTAAAATCTAATAATAAACTTTCTTTACAAAATTATTATATTCAAAAGATTGAGAAACGGTGGGCCGAGTGGGAACAACCCCTTTTACTTCTTTCTTTTTTACTTCATCCAAAGTATAAAGATACAAAATTTAATTTTACACTTTCAAATATTTTATATGCTTATTTAGGAAGATGGATTTGTTACTATTATACTAATTGGGTTAATAAGAAGCCTTTAGTTATTCTTGCAGAATTAGAGCAGTATCGTGCAGAAAGAAATCCTTTTGATCAAAAAACATATAACCAGTTTAATAATCCTTTAAAATTTTGGAATTATATTGCAGGTAATACAAAAGAACTGCATCTTGTAGCTTTAAAAATTTTTTCAACTTCAGTTGCTAGTGCTTCAGTAGAACGGTTATTTTCTAAAATGGGTTGGATTCATACTGCTCGACGAAACCGATTGATAGTAATTTATAACTAAAGATGGATTTAGTTAGCTACTTTTAGCTTAGCCAATTGAATTCATCTCTATTTACAATGTCTAATTTTAAATTATTATTTAATATAGCTAAACTATTAATTTTAATTTTAGCCTGATAAAGTTTTAAAATTATGTCAATTAAGAGATAAATTACGAACTAATCATTTAAATGAAGCTTTAACTAGACAAGAAAAAAAAATTCATGAAACAAATGTTGCAACGCAAGCACAAAACACAAATTTAGAAGTTTCTGATAATGAAAGTTTTGATTTAAGTGAAAAAGATACTTATGAAGATACTTATAAAGATATCTATGCTGAAGATACTTACGTTAAAGATACTCATGTTGAAGATACCCATGTTGAAGATACTCATGTTGAAGATACCCATGTTGAAGATACCTATGTCGAAAATACTCATATTGAAAATATTTATGTTGAAGAATTAAATAAATCAAATAGTGGAGATATTCAAAATGTTAATAATTGGCGCCATTTAGTATCTAAGTGGATAAAACTAGCAGATGAAGAAGAAATTAATGAATTGGTTAATAACGATCTATTAGATGATGATAATGCAACTTTAGATTCTTTTGAAGATTTTGGTACTACGCATCCTGCTGAAGACCGTGAAGCAAAATGGAAATTATTAGATTTGTTTACAGATTTACTTGAACAGCCTGCTTACTTAAATTTGTTGATTAAATAAAAAAGTATAGTATAAAATTTAGAGAACATTTTTTATTTTATATATAGTAGTATATTCTTTTACATTTTTTTATCTCAATAAGTAAATTTTTTTTTTTAGTATTTATTTTAAAAATAATATTTTATTATTATTATTTGTAAGAATTTGTTTTGCTTAATTACTATGATTAATTGAAAACTGTAATTTTGCTAAAGATTCATAACGCGAATACATATAATAAAATTTTAGTCAATCAAAATAAGTTTATGACAAAAAAGATGTTTTAAACTTTTTTAATTGCAATAATGAATCTACTTTCTGGTTAAAACTAGTTACCACTAATTAAAATTATTTATTATGAAGATATTTATTAAGTTAAATATATGTATGTCCAATTAGCTTTAGCTCTCATGTCTAATTGGATATATGGCTAATTGGTCAATTGGACATGTGGACAACAACTAAGGTTAATTAGCCACTTGTCAATTAGCCATATGTCTAATTGAACATGAGGGCTAGGGCTAATAATTTTTTATTGGACTTAAGGCTAGTAACAACACTGCTGGTTAGAGACTAGTTGATACATATATAAATTAATAACTTTAAATAAATTAAAAAAGTTATCTAGCATATGTTAATATAATTAAAAATCTAGAAACTATCGTCAATTTTTCTATTATAATACAGTCAGGAAATATACTATAAATATACAGTGCTGATCACACCATTTATGATAATAGAACACTGATCTAATGGTTCCAGAAATTTCTTTATGTCAATTCAAGAATAATCACTAACCAATCAAATTAACTGAATAGAAAAAAATTTTATTATTATGCAAACTAGAATATTCCAAATCTTATTTACTTTTTTAATAATTTATTTACTTTTTTAACAAGAGTTAACTAGAGTGGATTATTGTGGATTATTTAAACTACATGTTTTCTACTATCTATTAATGCTTTTATTTAGAAGTTTTAAGCAATAAATAAAATATATAAAAAATTTCCTAAAACTGCTAGCAAGAAGTCATACAAAAGCCAATTAAATTTGTGCAGATCATTCTAAAACCAGATTTTCTAATTTGCCCTTATTTGCTATATTCCCTGACTGTAATAGCAGCACTCATCAAATTTACCAAAGCTTTTTATACTTAATTTAAATTTGTTCTAGTCTAGTTAAAATAAACTTAATAATTTCATATTTTTTATATATATATTATGACACACATATGCTTTTACATTTTTTTTTAAAAAAAGTATAAATACAATTAGAATATGATAAAAATTAATTAGGAGCATAAATCGGACCATTCAAAATGTGCAATTCAGATAGCTCGATACATATTATAAAATTTTATTACTCAAATTTTCTTCATTTTAATTAAAAAGAAAATATAGCAGGTCATGATTAAGCCTTAAAATCATTAAGATTACAGACACATACTTAAACAAATTCTTAATAAGCAATGTTTGAGTGCCGAAAAAGATAGAAGAGGAGTTAATTCAAATTGTCAAAATTTTAGGGCATTATTACGAATTGTGTTAGATAAACTCAAAGATCAGTATAATATACAAAAATAAAATCTTCTGAGTACTTTTTTTTATGAGTTTAGTCACGACTGTTCAATCAAAAGTGCTGCGAAAACATGAGTTCATGAATAAATAATATGGAAGTAAGAAGAATTCAGCTCTTTTGAGTAGATATATCTATGTGTCTACCAAAAGTTTATTTACCATTTCAAAACTAAAATTAGCGTTATGGCAGTCTAGTTAAGGTTAGGTTAGTGTTAGAGAAGCTTTTTATATATAAAATCACCTTCCCGACACTTTTTATTAATATTTCATCAAATTCACACAATTTGATTGGTTGATCATCAAATTTCAGTAGGCACATAAATGCATCTTTTTGGGGTAAAATCTTACGTACTATACATACGTATATATGTACAGTACGTCTGTATGATAGGCTATAGTAAAGTGTCCAGTATATATATTATTTGAAAAATCCGCTGATAATTATCAACAACCAATTTAGAAATATCAGACCATTATTTTATTCGAATATTTATTCACACAGATCAACCAAATTCAGCATATTGGGAATCCACAGCATTCAACCATAAATAGTGCTACAGAAATTTAAATTTGGAACAATGCCAAAATTCGCGAAAAACAATCAAGTTTTAATAGAAAAGCTTTGATTATTAGAGATAGTTAATTCGGAGAATGTATTATTCTCAAACACAATTGAAATTTTTATATATCCCTTAAACCATCCAGTTTTAGCAGGCAAATTTGCCTGCTTAAATTTTATAAATTCATATCTGATCTATTTTTT